ATTCTTATTTCTCGCATTAAGCATCATTCTCACCGGAGCGTGAATATATATATATATATATATATATATATATATATATATATATAAATATATATATATATATATATATATATATATATATAGAGATTTGTTCCAATGCATCCATTTATTTAAAGTGAGGATGTGAGACTCATTTTTAACCACAAGATTTGGTACATAATGTGTGGCCAAGATTTACTCATTTCTTTTTATTATTTTAATTATTTAAATATTATTTTGACCCGTTGACTTCCGGCGTTGACCGTTGACCGTTGACAACTAACCTTCCAACTAGGTTAGTTTTCTGTAGCTGCTAGGTTAGTTCTATGTAGTTGTTAGGCTAGTTCTCTGTAGTTGCTAGGTTAGTTGTCTGTAGTTACTAGGTTAGTTCTCTGTAGTTGCTAGGTTAGTTATCTGTAGTTGCTAGGTTACTAGTTGCTAGGTTAGTTCTTTGTAGTTGCTAAGTTAGTTCTCTGGGTTATTAGTAGGTAGATTAGTTCTCTGTAGTTGCTATGAGTTGTCCGCATTTTAAGAGCTGGGCGCATTTTAAGAGTTGATCGCATTTGATCCGCCCCCTATATATATATATATATGAAAATACATATGATGCCTAATTGGCAAAAATTAATTATTTATAATATAAGGTTCAATAGTGTTCCCATTTTCTTTTCTCGGTGTCTAGAACTCATGACCTATCAATCATAAGTAAAGCGTCCAACTGCATTTTACCCGCATCCTTAACAATTTTAATTCTGTCATGTCCGGTCAGCATACCCGGCCACCCGGGTTCATAGAGTATATGCAAATAGACTGACCAAATTAGTATTTTGAAATAACATATTACTCCAATTAATTCTTGTACGTGAAATTCATGTAATCTAAGTTGTTAACAAAGTGTTAATTAATAAATATGTACGTGGCATATCTATGGAGTTTTCGAATGATTGACTTTTCCATCTAAAAATGGTTCAAGTGTCCACTCCACATACTCTTCTTGTGATTGTATTTGGTAAGAGTGAAAATGCCGTGCAGTATAACTACCGTGATGATATAATCATTTGCGTTCATCGCCAAAGCTCCCATTTTTTTTTCATGACCACTTAAAAAATTAACCACCTAATCAAGCAATTAATTATATTTTGATTTTGAGTTTTATTGTATTTGAAATAGTATATGGTGAACTTGAGGAGGATTTGAAATTACAAAGTATGGTAGACTAATCATGTGGAGATACAATTTTGCTATGAAGCCATCTGATGGCTTGACTTATGGAATCATCTACACTTATTCACCAATAGTGTATTGATACATGTTCTACAATAAATACAATTTCGACATGTGTCAATACATTAAGTGGTAGATGACTACATAAGAAAAACATCCGATAACTCCACTTAATTTTTGGTGGAGATATTGATTGAAACACTCAAATGGTGTTAATTATAAACGCGTCAAGTCAAAAAGCAAGTAAAGGTTCGAGACTATCAGATGGTGTTAATTGAAACACGTCAAGTCAAAAAGCAAGTAAAAGCTAAATTACTATACACGAAATGCTATAGCATATTTATGAAATTAATTTTCATAAATCATATACGCAATATTGTATCGGGAGAGATTGCTTTAATATTGCAATCTCTCTATATATAATTGGTTTGACCGTCAACGATAATAGCGTATGCTTCACGCATTTTCTCTGACTAGGATATCCTATCGGGCTGGGCTGGGTCGGGCTATCCAGACAAGTCAAGACTCTCTAATGTTGAACCCTGTTTTGTCATCTATGTAAAACATTGCCAATAAAACAAGAACTCATGTAACTTTTGCGCATAATTTTCATCTGCTATGAGTCTAACAACAATATTTACTTGTGACCCATCTGAATGATTGTCATATATATGTATATATTTGTACACATGATCATCTGGAAAATATATATGATCATCTCAGAATTATAAATTATGCACTGTAGCTGGGCAGTGTCCCTGTACGCATGAGATAATAAATTCAAGTGTTTACTTTACAGAGATGTTACCATATTATTTGATTAATTACCAATAAATTAATAAATTATTCATGGAAAGCTTTGATTTGTAGGTCCAATTAGGAATTATTAGGCGCACGCTCACCACATTTGCATTTAAACACATTATTATCATCAACCAGCTTATCCATCGCAATAGCGTTGATCTTTAATTTTAGTCTGACGTTTATTTCAGTTCTCTTACACTATTCTCTTACATTTCATTAAACATGTCAATTTCTCTTTATCACTTTTCACACTCTCCATAATGTACACCTTAATAATTAAACCATAAAACAACACGAAGAAAAGACACAAAATATATAATTAAACTCCATTTTATTACAACTTCTTATCAAGAAAACCGGACCAAGCCGGACTTAACAAGACTCGACTCGACTCATTTCTCAAAACAAATTTCAAACAACATTATTCCAAAAGGCTCGACCGAGCTTACATATAAAGACAACCAAACCTTTCTTTGACACAATCAAAGAGACCGACACGAAAACACACCAACGAAGACTCAAAACAAAAGACCGACACAAAAAACAAACAAAACACGACAAATATAAAACCAATGACCCCCAAACACAAACATTCAAGAAAATCCTTCATTTTGTCCTCTTCTTCTTCCTCATCTTCTCTTCATATTCAAATAGACGGATCAAATCCAGCTTCATTATTATTATTGTCCAACCACTCGTTCGGGTCGAAAAGATTCGGCACAATCTGATTCTCACCATCCTCAGATGAAGCGCCCCTCATCAAGAAGCTTTGACTCCAACTTGGATTAACATTCAATCCCGGGTAAGGCGGAAGCATCATATTACTAGCACTATCGTACTGTCCGCCGCCGCCGCCGGAGAAATTCATTCCGGCAGCCAAATTAAAGAAAGAACCGGCGCCGTTGCCAATCGGCGGCGGCAGGATTCCGGCAGTTGGAGGCACGAGTCGAGCAGCAGTAGCAGCAGCAGAAACAGCAGAAGAAGCAGAAGCAGTTCTGAGGCGCCTGTTGCGGCGGGACCCACCGCCAACTGGGACATTCCTTAGGGCTCCGCCGTGAGTCCAATACCTACGACAGTCCCTGCAGAAGTAGCGGGGTTGATTCACACTGTAGTTGTTATAATAGCAAAATTTTGTGTTCGATGACTTGCAACGGCTGCAGTTTTGATGGGGTGCTGGAGGGCGGCTGCCTGTCTCGGGGCGCCGCCTAGGAGGGGGAGGAGGAGCTGGATTCATTGGGTTTTCCATGTGTATGTTGTTATTATTTGTTTATGTTTTATTGGTTTAATTGTGTGTGTGTGTTTTTTTTTCTGCGTAAAACTGGTGTGTTTATATAGAGGTTGGATGAGTAAGTGAGATTGTGTATCGAGTGCATGTGTTGTGTGGACTTGGGGCGCCTTCAGATTATATGATTTGAATGCTGTGGATATGTTTGTAATCGGCTTCTCGGATATTATTATGAGAATCAGCACACAATGAAATTTTCTTACATAGCATTGAGAGAATTGGGAGAGCTGGATTTCTTCCATACCTACCCACCGCACAAGATCATAAAGGGGTTTTTCCTTTTTGTGTAAATTTTTTTCTCAAAATTTTGATAATGGAAAAAAGCATGAAATNTTAAAAATATTAATTACATTGGAATCTCAAATTTAAAATTAACAATATAAGATAAAAAATGGAAAATTGACAATAAAAAAATTATTATTATTTGTTATGACAATTATATTAAATTCAAATAAAAAAAAACTATTGCTTAACATGTCTTGATATTTGTTAGTTAAAAAAATAAAATATTATGACTATTAACTATTTAAAAAGTACTAGTGTTATCTCAATATTACTAATACATGGATGTGGTTATCAGTACTACTACCTCTAGTTATCTCTAGTTATCTCAATATTATAAGACACGATTATCTCAATATTACTAATTAAAGTTTCAAATTTATCAACATCTTCTATCTTTTAATCTTTTAAATTTAACGTTTTGTTCTTAGTTTTCTATAATATTTTGTTTGTTTATTATTTAATTTGTTAGTTAGTGAATTAAATAAATAATCAACTTAACTATAAACTGTGAGTATTTTATTTATAGACTATAGGTTGAGTATTTTATTTATAGACTCTAGGTTAATATGTAAGGATGAGTTTTTGTTTATGAGTGGAATGAATAAAACGATTGAAAAAATCAAAGATGGATGTAATATTTAAATTGTTATTCAAAAATAGCTTAAATATATTAGAAAGATGGATGTAATATTTAAAATATTTTCAAAAATATCTTAAATATATTAGAAAGAAGAAAAATAAATATGATAATAGATGAGTTGAAATGATTTGAACAATGTAAGAAAATCAACTATAATGTCAATTAAAAATGTTTTCAAAAATATCTTAAATCTTTATATATTTAAATTGGTTGATGTAATAATAAAAAATAGTAACTTTGACTTTGTAATTAAATATATTGATGTACGATTAAAGAAAATATAGTAAAAAATACTTTATTATATATAAGAAAATGAAAATCAAATTATATTTACCTGTTGTAAATCGTGCAATTCGATTAATAGAACGACTTTCTATATAAATAAATTGGTATCAGTTTTGAAAATTATTTTGTGATGATTATCGCAATAAAAATTCGATATTTTGTAATTACGAATCACTGGAACTTCTTATTCTTTTGATAACCAAACATACAACATGTCTTCAAAAAAGCATCTACTAAATATGTTTTTTTTGGAAAATTTTATTCCTATATGCACGATAAAATTACAAATATAATTACAAAATAAAAATTAAAAATCAATTGTGAAAGTTTAATTATGAAATTTTTTCACAATATCACACTAGAATCTTATTTATCAGCATTAATAAAAATTACGGTGATTTGTTATTCATTTGGTAACCAATGATATACTTAAATATTTTTATTGTATCTTCAAAAAATCATTTAATCATGAAGATTATTTTAGAATCTTTGATTTATCAATAACTCATGAGTTGATCAACCGATTCAGTTTTTTAAAGTTGTAAACGCAATTTTCTATATATTTGAGCTGGCGTCGAGAGGCACATTTGGAAGCACCGCCAACACTTCAGTTGGATTGCATAGTCGAAGTGGGAGCAAAATTAAACAAAGTGGACAAGTGTTAGTTTTTTATTAAATTATTGTCTCACATCAGATGTGTATCAAAGATGTCTAGGATTTTTTTAGTATAAATAAGTCACTTGTCTTTGGATTACAATTACACCTTATTATATATTCTCCTATCTTAGAAGGAAATTATTAATTAAGAAAATTCTAATGAAAGCTTATTTACCCATTCTTTGGCAACCTTTTCAGCCTTCTTCTTGGCGTCCTTATCGGGATAGCGGACCAAAAGCTATGAAATTTGGGTGTGGGTCTTTGAATGCCTATTTAACTCTAATTATATCTTATTTATGAGTTTAGTATATTTGGCATTGTGGTTGGCAGTGCCCAGATGTGTAGTTAATATATGAGTTTAGTATATTTGGCATTGTGGTTGGCAGTGCCCAGATGTGTAGTTAATATTGACCGAACTCCTTTTGTGTATACTTTTTATTTCTTGTCTTTTAAGATGTGTAGTACCTTTTGTGTATACTTTTTATTTCTTGTCTTTTAAGATGTGTAGTTAATATTGACCGAACTCCTTTTGTGTGTACTTTTTATTTCTCGTCTTTTACCGAACTCTTTTTTTGTGTGTTTTTTATTTCTCGTCTTTTATTTATCTTCGTTTGACTTATAATTTTCGTTACAAGTAGCGTTTGTCATAGCATTTTTTATCTGTTGTCTAACAAGCTCATAAGCTGGATATTTTGATTATTTGGATTCGATCTGTTATATATTTTCTTATTTATATAAGCAAGTATCTTTTTTGCTGAGAAAGGAGGATAAGTTAGTTTATTATTTTCATCATTTCAACCCATAAGTTGGTCACATTTAATCATCCATTGTCAAATTTGATTTCACATGTAGCCAGTGTTGGTGAAATTATATTATCTATATTGTTATTAAAAATGTTGTTTCAACTTGGAACTTGTGTTGGGTGAGAGAAGTGAAATTTGGTTCGATGTAAAAGACCAAACTAATTTCAGAAACGCCCCAAACTATATACGTCTAGTCGAAATCGAAACATAACAACCATCAATAGAAAACCTAAAAAGACGCAAACACATCACATTTAATTGTCCGAAAACCAGAAACCCAAAACTAAAGCACAAATTAAACCCACCAGATAACTAACTGTATGTTTTTCAATACTTATCCTTGTCCTTCTCCTCCCCCACGCGCCGCCTCATATCCACAACATCTTCATCCATAACCTTCTCCTTTTCCTCCTCCGACTTCCCCACCACCGTCTCCTTTATCTTCCTCACCGTCTCCTTAGCCGTGTCCGCCACCTTCTCCGCCATCCCCTTAGTAGTCTCCTTTGCTTCGTGGGCCTTCTCCTTCGTGGACTCTTTCGCCTCGTGGGCCCGCTCCTTGGCCCGCTCAGCCATCTTCTCAGCTGTGCCCGCAGCCCTGTCCTTCATCTCTTTAGCCTTTTCGGCCGCTGGGCTCAGATTCTCCTTCGTCTTCTCGTTCATCTCCTTGGTTTTCTCCTTCATGGCTTCTGCTTGGCTTTTGGTCTTCTCCTTCATTTCCCGCGTTTTCTCCTTGGCCCGATCCATCGTCTCCTTCACTTCATCTCTCGGATCCGACTCGTTTTCCGACCCGTGTTGGCCCTGGCGGGTTGGAAACTTTTTTTATTTTTTTTAAGAGTGAAATTGAATAAATGAACATGAAATTACTGTTTTAACCTTTGAAGTACCGTACCTGGGGATTATGTCGGGAGGCCGAGGAGAAGCAAACCCGGGAGATTTTGGGGCGGAAGAGGGGGACGGAGGCGGGTATGTGGGCGGACTTAGGGAGGCTGAGGATTGCGTTTCTGAATATGGCTGCCATCATGCTTTTCCTGAAAATTTGGGATTGAATTTTGTGGAGATTTTTTTGTTTCCAAGTTTTTCTTCTGTATTTTTTGAACTATTGCAGTTTTTTTCCCTTGGTGTGGTGGTTCGTTATATGGTGATTTGAGTTGGACGCGTGTAGCAAGAGGTGGACACGTGGAGATATGTCACTACTTTGGGACTCCCCGTGAAACACATAACCCCACTCTTCAATGCGACCAGTTTATCTTCTTCTTTATTTATTTTTTCTAATTTTATTTTATTTTTATACATATATATTTAAATGAAGAAATAGTTATTTACATCTTATTCTTAAAAATAATAAGTTTTTCACATTTGGATTTTAAGTTATTTTTACACTCCAAAAAGTGCAAAAGGCACTATGCGAATATTATGTGAAATTTAAAAGTACAAAAACATTAACATAACGTTTCACACTTTCTAGAGTGAATATGAGATAGTTATGTTACTGATATGCGACAGTTATGTGAACAATTCACATAACCTGACGGGTTAAGGTGTCTCGTTTCCATAGATACAATGGTTGGCTTCTCAAAACCTGTAGCATAACATACTTTCGATCTCTGATGAGAGGATATAGGAATGCAGATGATGGTCTAAGTGTCTACAGCTCTATACCATGTCATATTCAAAGGACTTCCAACACAAGTGCGAGATGACATATGTTCTTCAGCTTGTAACATCCCAGTCAGTAATAGCCCAATATTGATGGCTGTTGTAAACGGGCTAAACGTTTTCAAGTGTTAGTTCACCTTCAATCCACCTGATAACCACCAAAACGGTCAGGTGAAAGGTCACATGTCTAGGTTTAGTGAACCTAGTAAACACATACGTTGGGTCCAAATCTCCAGCCTAAATTCAACTTGGTCCGTATTTCAATATCGGCCACAATTACAAATAAATTTGCCAGCAAAAAGTTTATAGGCCAGGGGATGCACACAGGGCCAAACCCAACACCGGCCCAGACCGTTCTTGACCGCCCAAGTCCAGCCCTCAATCCAATTATCAAGGTCCAATTGCCAAGTCCATGTCCCGCCCCGGGCCCGCGTCGATACGAGAGCCAGCCAACTGGCAGAGACGCGCGTGTGGCTGAAATCATCAGCAACACTTGGTTGTTGTTGTGACATCTACAACTCTTTTTATTAGAATTCATCTCATTTCGTAATCCAATATGAGATAGAAATCTTGATCTTTCGAATCTTTCAATCATTGTTTTACGCATTCTTTAATGACCAACTTTAATCATTTATTTCTCAACGAGTGAAAATCAATTTCGAGAAATATATATACTACAAGTATCTACTCGGAACATATAACTTGTCTACACAATTGCATTTAACTTGAATTAAATATTTTGCCATAAAAAAAATCAGTCAAAATAGGTCAAACCTAACTTTTCATAATTGATTTTCTAACATTATTATCAACCAACACCTCTATAATTTACTTTCTATAACCTTGCCTACGGAAAACAATAAAAATATGACTGCTGTTATTATTCCGAATGTAATGACACGATAATAGTTAGTAGTAACAACTAACAACACGAACATATTCACATACATGGATTGTGGTACCCATTATACAAGTCAACTGAGATTAAACTTTGTTCTCGTCAATAGGGCGCCAATTAACATCCAACCCCTTAACTTCATCCACAGGCTTTCCTCCTCTCTCCTTGCCCACTTTCTGCATAAGCTCATTTTCATCACCGACAAAATTCTCCATTATCGACTCATCCTTATCATCACTAGCACAATTATCCTTCCCCTTATCCCCTGTTTTTTCCGAGGGATTGTACATCTTGTTTGGAACCTTTTCGGTCATGAACTCACGAGCTCTGTTTCCGGCCGCATCACTCACGCTCTGATTTGAGTACAATCATTACATATTTTGTTCACAAACAATCATACTTTCATTACAAAAAATATTATGATTTGAAATACTTTATAATATGAATATAATTTTTTTTTTCATAATATGACAGGTTGATAGCCTGTCTAACACAAGAATTTATTGTCCAAAATGAGCAATTTGAAAGTCACAAGGTAAAGCAACAAAAGGAATATATACAAAAATGATAGTAGACATATATAGGCTGATGCATACAT